GTTGAAATTATTTGAAAAGTCCTGTTACCTGATTCTTTGCTGGTTGTTTTTTCCCTAACATAAAATCCATTTGATTCATATTCTTCATCTGAAACTCATCGAGGTCGGGAATAAATAATAGAAACGTTTTTTCAGAAGCAGCACTTACCATTATTGGAATCGTTATTGAGTATATTCCCTTCGACCAAAGAGCGCCTTGTCCTGGAGGACTCATAAGTGGCAATCACTTCTAAAAAGTTAAATGAAATCCGTTGAAAAATACCGCCTTATTATGAAAAATCCACTACTTTACCTGTCTGGGTATTGATATTTTCCATATTAGAGGTTAGAACGAGGAAAAACTTCAAAGCCGATGTCAGAAGCCTTTGTTTACGTTTGAAAAAGTCACTCAGCTCAGAATCAAGCTGGTTTGCTAGTAAGTTTCACAGCAGTCTGAACCACAGAACATACCCCAGGGGGGATATTTTGTGATTGGCCTTTAGCAAGTTTTCTACGAAAAGAGGTTATTAGGCTTGTAGTTACTTTATGACGCTACTATGTCACAAAAAGAGCAACCACGTAAAATCACGTTTTTCATGACGTATTAAGTTCTGAAGTTCACAGAACTCATTGGGGGATGGGGAATGTTCTGTGCTGAAGACACTGATATTGATGGATGAATAAATTCGCAATATTTGTTCGCTTTCATAATTTCAGTTTTGAATTAAATTGAGTTTCTAATAAATGCATGTTTTTAAAAATATAGGCATTTTGCATTGCAGACTGATTTCGAAGGTGCTGCAATGCCAAAAGCTGTAGTAAGTGTCATTAACTCCCAACATGGGGGCCTCACTCAAATAGTCAAGGTCAGACCAAGATTTTGTTTGTCGTCAGCGCCACCTAGGCCCTGCTTACAAGGCAACTTACTCATAAATGAACGGAACATCCCCGAAGGGGCGCCATGGTGACGTTTACAGCGTGGGTGCTGATTTCAAAGATGCTGATTTGCATTTTTTACCAGGCTCTTTCAAAGATGCTGATTTCTTTTTCGGCACCAGGGAAAGACGT